AATCAGTTTTAGAGTCAGCAGTGTTTCCACTGAGCTCTCCATCCCGAGATTGACCTTCTTGTTAATATAAGTATCATGTAACTCAGCAACACCATATGTTTCATAGCACACCTATCTGTTCAGAGATAACGACAATTTACGGACTCTAGTCTGACATTAAAACACTAACCACAAACAATCAATTTTGATATCCCCATATAATACCATAATTAGCACATATGGAGCAGCAAATAATTCGCCCTATATTATCTACCATTGTCTTTTGGTCATTGTGAAGAATAGTGGTGAACATTTGAATTTTAGGATAGAGATATTCAGAATCAGTTGCAATCTGGTCCAATGATTTGATTGGTAGACTTTTCATTGTCATCCTAGACATCATCATCACTGCTTTATTATGAGAGAAAGATGGACATCAAACTTCAGCCAATCAGGTTAGAGTAAAGCAAATTAGCATGCTATATTCTTTATGAAACACTCATGAACTGATTTTAATGTCTGGCATGACACCGAAATATCCACCAATTAAAATCTAAGCTCATGTAGGACAGTATAAGGAGTTTCGGTTGCATTCTGTTCTCTGAGCTGGATTGTTTAGTCGTGAAGCTTTCATTGTCTCTCTCCTAGACAGAGACATCATCCACAGCACTAACTTCAGTATGAAGTGAGCTGTCAATATCTCTCTGTGAGTGATTTAGTAGTTTGCCCTCATAAACTGGTTTGTGATTGGTTGTTTCTTCTGATTGTTGTGTCATTGGCTGTATGGACTTTCCTGTTGGCTGTTCTTCTGCTTCACCTCTGACCTTTATGTCGTTTATCATTTTTCTTATTGGTTGATAGATTGGGTCTATGTCTATACATCTATTGACTGCTGACTGACTGACCTGTATGCCAAGCTTCTAGGAATTCTCTGATATTCTCTGTGTTTGTGTATTGAAATGAGTGACAAAACGTCGTGGCGTTTAATAGCCAATTGGTGATCCACTATACGGAGTTTCCTCATCATAAGTTAATTTGTAGTAGTAAATGAAAGAAATACCATCATGAAGTGGTTTTTAGCTGACTGTGAACAATCCTAAGAGATCCTCTATTCCCCTATTACCATTGGTCATCATACGGAGGATAAGGATTAGTTGAGTGGTGACTAACATTCACTGTGAGATGTCTTTGATATTATGAACAATGGGTTTTTCGATAAAATTGTTCGTATTTTTTGAAATAGCAGTCATCATTAAGTTGAATGTGTATTCCAGTTTGACATACGTCACTCGAAAGACTTCACTCAGGTTTTAGGAACCGAAAGCTTCATTCATAGTCATCCTGTCAAGAGTGTAAAGTATGCCGAAACCTTGGTCAGTAGCTTCTTACCTAATGACTTCTAATGGTTAACACCAGAAAATAGTAATATGTAGACCTTACTAGTCTCATTCCGTTTTTATGCTTTAGTCAAACTGGTTAGAGTTCTCATAATAGACCTTTCGATAAATCGATTTACGGATCAATGATCACTTCTCACGTCTAAGACTTGACTAACTAAATTTCCAGATTATTCATACTACACTAACCTTGATATTTCGAAAATTAAGTTCAATGTGAACACAGTTAGTTGTAAAAAATTAGTATGGATAAATATTAGAATGGTATATAAAAGTTTGAAGGAACTTACTCAGAGATAAGCTACTGAAATGCATTTAAGTAGTTTTAACTCACTAGGGTTTGTACAACTATCGATTTTCACGGTTAATGAAGATATCATTTACACTTTCACAAAACTTGACCACTTCATAACCGCTATTTATTATTATTGCTATTTGTCCATTGGGTTCTTAATAGAAAACACATCTTCAGTAGCACATCTCCATTACACTCTCTTCTCTAAAAACTCTTGAACCTGGCTCCACGACTGCCCACAAACTCCCATTTCTTCCCAACACACCATCACCTTCATGTCACCCTCACCTCACTCTCCAAACTCGTCGTTTCCCATGTGGGTTCCAATCGACGGTTTGGTCTGGTGCGTGATATCCCCGAATGGTCTTCTCAGTACATGCTCAATCCATCTCCACTTCCTTACACTGCATATTTGTTCAGCGGTAGGTTGTTGGTTGGTTCGTTCCCAGGACAGAGTTCCTTCTTGCTTATTCTTATTATTCTGGCCATCTGATCTGATATTCAGTAATGAGCCAGCGTAGGTGGTAGTTGTTGATGAATGTCTGTAGTTTGTTAGAAATCCCTGTCGTAACGCATCGCCAAGTCTCTGAGCCATGCACAAGCACTGACTTAACTGAATTGGTGTTGAAAATCCGGATGTTGTTCCACATGCTGAGTGCAGATCTCCACACTGGTTTCGGGTTAATGAACGCATGTCTTGCTTTACCGATCCTGGCTGCTTTGGCTTACTTGTCTGTGCCGCCTGTAGTTGAAACAGTGCTGCCTGCCTAGGTAGGTGAAAGAGACTACTTCCTTTAAGTTCCCCCGTTGATGGTGATTGGAGCTTGTTGTTGTCGTTGTTGACGGTGGTGTTGTTGGTTGGTTATCTTCATCACCACTGTCTTCTCTACATTCACTTCAATAGTGTCCCGTCTTCGCTGCCCTACCTCGCCTCTTCTGTCAACTTGCTAGTTTTCGCCTGCAGATCTTCAAGTTTGTGTGATATTATACACAAGTCATCGTTGGCGAAATCCAAATCTTCTTTTTGGGGTCTTTTCTCCGGTCAAACAGCGTATCCCCTTCTTCTCGCTCCTCACAGTTTTCTGCATGATCCAGTTCAGTCGACCACAATCACGAATATCATGAGTGATAGTAGACGGCAGCCTTGTTTTACTCCTGTCTTCACTTAAGCGGCATCACTGAGCTTCCCATTGTGGATTACTTGGCATGTGGCGTCTTTGCATAGCTGTTGAATGAGATTGATAAAGGTTTGTGGTATTCCGAAGTGCTGAAGCAGCTGCCTGTAAAATTACTTCACGGTCGACGCTGTCAAAGGCCTTCTCAAAGTCGATGAAGTTGAGGCAGAGATCCAGTTGACTGCCATTCTATACTCTGTTCTATGATGATGCGTAGCGTAGCGTTGCAATTTGATGGGCACATGATTTTTACTTCCTGAATCCAGCCAGCCAGCTAGCCTGTTCCGGTCATAGTTTTGAATCCAGTTCATTCTTTAGTCTCTCCAGGATGATGCGGCCTAATATTTTGCTTCGGGTGGACAGGAGCATAAGTTCTTCATACTTGGTTTTGAATTTAAGTAGAACACCAGATTTCTATTCAGTCTACTCAATGGAAAGCATCAATAACATAGGGAATATAGAAAGACAGTGGTAACAGTATATGCAAATCGTTTGTTAATCGATTCCAGGTTGGACTTCATCAGGGATTGGCATTGCCAACTGTTTCGTTCTAGTATTGGACTCCTCAGTAGTACGAAATCACGTTCTTGACAGAGAATTAAGCAGATCCCTAGTACAAACCGAGAATATCATCAAGTATGATGATGAAACGTTCGTGACAAGAATGCTAAAGCTCAGGGAATACAAAGCCACTGTCATCCTCATCCTGAGATATAAATCTTTTGCATCATTCCAAGAATAAGCAACATTATCTTTGTCACATGTTCTCGTATCAGGCATACAGACTAATTATCGTGGAACTGAGGACACAAATACATCGACACAAGTCTTCATCTTATTTCCTAGCAACATTCAAGAATGATACTGAAGTAGATTTAAGTGTAGGATGAGAGAGAGGGTAAATCGATAACGGTCAGTGAAAATACTAAATTGATTTTGGTGACTAGCAGAGGAATCCAGTGCGCCTTTTTTTTCCTATTTGGGACTCGTGAGCTGGATATGCCTGCACCTCAGCGAATGATGTTGCTCTCACTCAGGCTCGAACCCAGTGCCCTTCGCTTCAAACACCAGGTTGTTATCCACCAAGCCACTGCAGTAAGATAGCCAGACCTCAGAAAAGATAGAGAGTGAATATATCTACGCCGTTGAGATTGATCTTCAGTCATACCATCGAATGTTTCCATCCTTTAATTCCTAACTATCGCCTTGAGAATAGCACCTAGATAGTCAACACTTCTGTAAAAGGCTCTAATCAACAGTCGGAGGTTTTATGAATTGGCACCATATCTCGGTATTTGTATTAACGATAATCGATCATTTGTCATGATCCATGAAACTATTGAACACCTTTAACAGTGAACCCCGGGAAATTTGAAGTAATCATATATGAACAACAAGATTATGAATGGACTTTTGTCCGTAATCATACACAAAAGTTCATTTACTACTCTATGAACCATATGCATATGTAAAAAGTCATGCTCCTTTTTATTCAGAAATCTAGACGACGGCTGAATGAAGGCGGTTTGAATTCGTCATACATCTGTGGATTATCAATGATAAACCTCATGAGGCTACAATCTCATCATTAAGTTCACTTACTACTTGTTTATCTTAAATTTGACTTTAGTCAGTTGGGAGCACAATTTGTAAATTTTTCATTGAATTGATCCCAGAACTCAATGGAGTTCTGTTGAAAACAAGCGTGTCTAACATTATGGTTAATTGAATAAAGTCTGAAGACCGGTGTACTCGTGTTACTAACCATTACTCATTAGTTTGTTAGACTAGGAATGAAGAGTAACTTGAGAATTGAACTTGTAGACCAATCAGAAAAGAAGTTAAATTTATTGACAATGAGTAAACAGATGTAACTGTCTAGTCTACGGTGGTCAGTACCAACCGAATGATGCAATATATATTGCCAACTGGCAACATAATCCAATACTGAAGGCAGTTAGTTACGGCGTGAATAGCTGAGTAATAGAGTCTCTGACTTCAGCGCAGATTAACGCATAGTTGAATCACTGAGGTACTATTAGGTTCCTCGTGGTAACTTGTATGACTTGCCAACGAACATGCAACCTAAGTCGACCAAGGTTTCCAGCATCTGGGTTTCCTTACAGACAAGGGCTCAACTTCATCTAAGCCTGTTGAAAATGGTTAGTAACAAACGAGGAAGCATATAAAAACGTGTTTTCCTTCAAATCATTTATTGTACAATAGTTTCATTTAGTACTCATTGTTGCGTCGTTGTTACTGTCTGTTATCATCCGTAAAGAGGATGATTAACTCAGCTTATTTTCCGATTGTTTCCACTTTAACGTTAGCTGGAATTACTAAGGGTAAGTGTGGCATTGATGAAAGATGAAGTAAATAAGGACACTATGAACAAAGATGAATAGAAGCATATGTGACAATCACTGTCACCATTAATACTACTTATATCTCAATGTCAGTAGTATGTAAGCATATACTTCAATGATCGTAAAAATAACTAATAAGTAATAGAAATGAAATAATGGACGAAATTTTTAAAAACAGTGAGCTAACATATGTGCGTGTGTGTGTGCATATTGTATAGAAAAATATGAAAATGAAAGTTTCGTATCTATTTGACGTCATCATCCTCTACAGAAAAACTACAATACACTATACTACCAACCTCTTGAAGTGTTTACACCTTGTTTTACAAGATCAATAGAATCATACCATTTCTATAGAAATTGATGGCTAGAAGTAACAAAATGAAAAAAAAAAGGGGATGAAAATAATAATTCAATGAAATGATTACTTTCAGGTTATTAGAATCATTTTCACTGTTCTCAATTATACAATTGGTTCTTCAATATACAAGATGCCATTACTAAATTTAGCAGTAAGACATTCAGGATCTACATTATCTGGTATATCATATTCTTTAGAGAATTCTCTAACAGCAGTACGATTTGATGTACGTTCTTCATGACGTGCTTTCACATAAATACGATGATTTAATGTTTTAATTTGTATTTCTGCTGGTGAATAATCTGTATCCACTGGAAGTTGTAAACAAAATCTACGTTTATTTAATTGTTGACAATTGAAAGTAGATTGTGGATGATAATTATGTTTCATTTTTAGTATAGTAGAATGTTGAAAATCATTTTCATTATTAGGTGATAAAATATCATAATCTGAATGTAAAGAATGTGTTGAAGAATAATTGAATTTTGGTGATTTAATCTCATATATACTTGGATATTGTTGAGATAACTTTCTTGATGATTGATAATGTTTACGAGTTAAGAATGGATTAAATGAAGTCTCAGAATGAATAGAATGTATATCAGTAGAGGATGAAAAAGGTGGAGGTTTCATAGGACAACTAACAGTTAATATACCATTTAAAGAGAGAACAGCAGAGATTTTTTCATCATTTATACCTGAAGGTAAATTAATTGAACGAGAATATTCTCGAAGAGATGAAGTGGAATTCTTCTCCTTTTTATTATTATTATTATTATTATTCAAACTGTTTGTTGATTGATTCCTTTCAGTTTTAGCTGTTACTACTAATTGTCCATTGTGTACAAATACTTTCACTAATTCTGGATCATAATTGGATAGATTGAAATTAGCTACAAAGTGTACACTTCCATCTTCAAATTGTTCATAACCAGTAGATGAATAAGTTTTTGTCAAAGTATCATGTGAACTAGACGAATTCATTACTTCTCTATTATCATTAAATAGATCAGTTGAACTTCGTAAATGATTAGATGATCGTAGATCATTATGCATTATTTTAAATTCTTCATTCCATCGTCTACGACGTTCTTCTATTCTACGTTTCATATCATCAAAAAAATGATCTGTTGTCTCTGTGAATCGTAAAGGACTTGAAGAAATTGTACGAAAATGCTTATTCCATGGTCGTTGATAATAGATTTGTTCATTACTCAATGTATGACGATTATGTGTATCCCAGTTATTTCTATTATTATCATTATTATTAACGATATCATATTTCCATGTTTCGTCTGATGGCAACACTGAATCTGTATCAGATAGTCTCGTATGCTTCGTATAATCATTATTAATTACTGACTTGTTATTTCGTTCAACAGGAATGCGTAGTTCAGTTCGATAATTGGTCATTTCTTGTTGTCTAATAACATTACTATCATTATTACTACTACACTTATACTGATTTTAATGGAAAAACATGAAATAATTCCCACTGATACAAAAATTGACTATACTATAAATGTCATTTCAAATCATTTTCATCCCACTCTTGTTAAAACACAAATATAATTTGACAGATTTCAATAATCAATGTATATATCGCCAGCCAGTAAATGTCGTCTTCAGGTTGGATTGAACTAAAAGAATAAGGTAGCTGAGACCCTTTCCAAAGTGTAAGTGATTGACGAGAATGTGGAAAATCAAAATGTGTAAAGTGAAGTGTCTGTCTACTTGTCGCTCATTCACTCTCTATACACCCCTCTCTCTCTCTCTCACACACACACACTTTCAGCCTTTCATGTACTCTCATTTAAACACACACGCACGACGTGTCCTTCAGACTATTCTGATGAATCAATAAGAAACGCTTGACCGTTTCATCTGTCTGTCTGTCTATCTATCTATTCTATACATCTGCAGATTACATTTGGATGTTGTATGCGCACATTTAACTTTGTGTGACCTTGATGTCGCCGCACTAGCACTGTGACATCTCATTTGCTGTATGTCACAGGATTTTTTCTCTAGCAGAAGGTAACTGTCAGTCTCTCTTTCCTACTACCTTTCGTAAACTGGAAGTTACAGTCACAGGAGGAAATAATTAAGCTCTCACTTACACATTTACAAATTTGTCATTGGTCTTAACACATAACTACACACAGAAATGATGTAATCAGAACTTTAGTTAAAAATTTGTTTAATCTAGGGGACAGTATAGTTTTTTCTACTCTAGAGAGTAAAAGGCGTTCATTCACCTGAAACCAGTGTGGAGATCTACTGCACTGCACTTAACATAAAGCGTGAACAATATCCGGATTCTCAACACCAATTCAGTTAAGTCAGTGCTTCTGTGTGATGGCTGAGAGACTTGGCGATGCTTTACGACAGGGATTTCCAACAAACTACAGACATTCATCAACAACTACCACCTACGCTGGCTCGATAGTGAAGATCAGATGGCCAGAATAATAAGAATAAGTAAGGAGGAACTTTGGCTGGCCGGCTGGCTGGCAACGAACCAACCAACAACCTACCGCTGAACAAATATGCAGTGTAGGGAAGTGGAGATGGATTGGGCATGCACTGAGAAGACCATTCGGGGATATCACGCACCAGACCAGACCCTCGATTGGAACCCACATGGTAAACGACGAGTTGGGTGTGTGAGGTGAGGTTGACATGATGGCGATGGTGTGTTGGGAAGAAATGAGAGCTTGTGGGCTGTTGTGGAGCCAGGTTGAAAAGATTACAGAGAAGAGAGTGTAATGGAGATGTGCTACTGAAGATGTGTTTTCTACTAAGAACCCAAGGGACAAATAATAATAATAATAATAATAATAATAATAATAATAATAATAATAATAATAATGGAGATTAAAAGGATTGACCTGAGGGATCAAACCCATGTCAAAATCCGAAAGTTCACATTTCCTTGATTCTCTCAATTTTTGGAACACACTAAGACCGTCGTCCAATTCCATCCTTAAGTATTTGTTCTCATATACATCTTGTTTACAGGGGTCAGGTCACAACTTTTAATTAGAACTTCTGGAAAACTATCTTGAGGACTGGTATGTAATTCAGCTTAGAGGTTTTTGCCACGAAATAGGTGTTCAATACAGCCAGGTTTTCAATGGTTCCCCTACTGAAATCCATTCATGGAAAATAATATCTTGACATCAATTATAATTTTATTATTACTTGTCCCTTGAGTTCCTAATGGAACGAAGGGCTTCAGTAGCACATCTCCATTCCACTCTCTTCTCTGTAATCTTTTCAACCTGGCTCCACAACAGCCCACAAACTCCCATTTCTTCCCAACACACCATCACCTTCATGTCAACCTCACCCCACACGCCCAACTCGTCGTTTCCCATGTGGGTTCCAATCGACGGTTTGGTCTGGTGCGTAATGTCCCCAATCAGTCTTCTCAGTACATGCTCAATCCATCTCCACTTCCTTACACTGCATATTTGTTCAGCGGTAGGTTGTTGGTTGGTTCGTTCCCAGGACAGAGTTCCTTCTTGCTTATTCTTATTATTCTGGCCATCTGATCTGATATTCAGTAATGAGCCAGCGTAGGTGGTAGTTGTTGATGAATGTCTGTAGTTTGTTAGAAATCCCTGTCGTAACGCATCGCCAAGTCTCTGAGCCATGCACAAGCACTGACTTAACTGAATTGGTGTTGAAAATCCGGATGTTGTTCCACATGCTGAGTGCAGATCTCCACACTGGTTTCGGGTTAATGAACGCATGTCTTGCTTTACCGATCCTGGCTGCTTTGGCTTACTTGTCTGTGCCGCCTGTAGTTGAAACAGTGCTGCCTGCCTAGGTAGGTGAAAGAGACTACTTCCTTTAAGTTCCCCCGTTGATGGTGATTGGAGCTTGTTGTTGTCGTTGTTGACGGTGGTGTTGTTGGTTGGTTATCTTCATCACCACTGTCTTCTCTACATTCACTTCAATAGTGTCCCGTCTTCGCTGCCCTACCTCGCCTCTTCTGTCAACTTGTTAGTTTTCGCCTGTAGATCTTCAAGTTTGTGTGATATTATACACAAGTCATCGTTGACGAGATCCAAATCTTCTTTTTGGGGTCTTTTCTCCGGTCAAACAGCTTATCTCCTTCTTCTCGCTTCTCACAGTTTGCTGCATGATCCAGTCCAGTCAACCACAATCACGAATATCATGAGTGATAGTAGACGGCAGCCTTGTCTTACTCCCATCCAAACTTCCCTTCAGAGGCATCACTGATCTTCTCATTTTGAATTACTTGGTATTTGGAGTCTTCATATAGTTGTTGAAGCAGCTGCCTGTAAAATTACTTCACGGTCGACGCTGTCAAAGGCCTTTTCAAAATCGATGAGGTCGAGGTAGACAGTTGACTGCCATTCTTTACCATCAAATAATCCCCATTAATTTTTAAATTGAGATAAAATTAATCTATTCGGCTGTTAGGTTGGTGTAGTAAAGCGAAAAGTAGTTGGATTCTCGTAAATGGTAGAAAGGACTTAACTCAAGGAGAACTTTTAGCCCAGCTAAGTTTCGGTCTAGACACTCAACCTTTCATCAACCCAAGCTTATTTTCGCTCACAGAGGATGTCGAGGTAGACATGTGTAATCCATATACTAACCAACTAAGTCGATAATGTTTTGCAGTCTCACACAACTCACCTACAACTGAAACCTAAGAATGTACGTTAAAAATCTACATTAATAACTTGGAATTACCACATCACGTTGCCAGTGATCCGAAAGCAACAGTGGTCGAACACCTGATCTCCTCTCTTGTCATCTACCTTAATGACAATTTTGCTCAGGGGTTGAATAGAAGAAAGAAAACTGCTGCACAGTATACTGGAGGGTTAACAGACGATTGTATATCATGACTACGTCCCTGATGCCTCAAGTTAGCAAAAGTCAATAGATGTTAATGATGGATCGCGGCTAGCAGTGGAATCCTGAGCCCTAATCCCGGTGGGAACAACATCACTCACTGGGAGGCAGGCACATCCAGCTGACGAGTCCCAAATAGGACGAAATGCGCATCCTGTATTCCACTGCTAGCCACGATCCATCATTACTATAATTAGAACACTGGCAATATCGAGTCATCCGAACAGGAGCCCATATGCCAATAGAGACCGATCAATTCGGTCCAATCAATGACGGTTTCATATAAAAACAATTATACTAAAAGTCTATAGAGCCTATTATATTAGTGCTGAGAGTAACGCAGAATTCAGAGTCTTAGGTAGGAGAGGTAACACAGTTGATGGGGTTGTGAACCTTCATCGACTGACATAACTGGGACAAGTGTCACATATGCCTAACAACCATATGTCTCGTCATATAATATTGGCCGAACCAAATTTAGGCTATAAAAAGGCTCAGCGAGGCAGAACTAAAACACAAAATCAGTGCGTGAAGTCACTGACTTTTCGTCTGACCCATGTAGGGGAATACAGACTAGGTGGTTGCAGTCCGCGGGACAAGAGGAACTAGTGGGTGTTCGCAGACTCTAGGTGATATAGCTCAGAATCAATGTCAGTGGTGCAGATGTATACACACATTACCCTCGTCTTACTCGCTACACTTAATCTCATCACCTTCGGTTACGTAGTAACACCTGGTCCTACGTTGATCTTAATGATGATGATTGGTGCTAAGAATTTACCAGCTACCAGTCCACTATGACTGATCCTACTTGCCAAGTAGTACCAAAAATGTAACACGCACGTGACTTGTAAGGAATTACGATTAGCCAATTGCTCTGTTCTACATCTATTGGAATATGCATTCAATTCTGTTGTAGAAGATAAACCAAGTATATGATTTTATCCCTAATTTTGCCTTACTTCTGCCTGATTTTTGACTATAACCTTAAAATAACTTTATAATTGCTGTTTTTCTGCCCTCTTAGCTTTAATTTTTCTCACTGTTTCTGAAGGCTGAATCCTCATTGGCTGTTAACTTTTTTAACCTATCAGTAAATTTATTGTTTGTCAAGGTCATTTAGTGTATACATATCATCACTCTCAACTGTTTTTCATTGTTGTTGAGACAGTGAAATCTTTCTATCCATGGTCCATCTTCTGTTCTTGTCTTCTCGTGCCAATGATATTGTTGTTGTGGTGGTTGACGTTCTGAATAGCGATTAAAGTGTACTTCTTTGTGTGTTAACTTCGCATTTCTTATAGACTGCTAGGTCACATAATCGGTCATAGCAAAGTAATGCCTCGTTGAATAGATTGGTCTCTGTTGGGATATGAGCTGCTACACAGATGCCTCAGTACTGTCTAAAGTAGTATCTAGGATGCGCACTTCGTTCCACTGGGGGTTAGTAAGCTGGATGTAACCGTATACCAGTGAATTATTTCGTTCTCATCGAGGCTACTGTGCATCAGCAGCCCAGCCATACAGTTCTGGACTTTGAAACGGTGAATTCTGAGTTCGAGTCTCTGGTACATCCAGCTGATAAGCCTCAAATAGGAGGAAATGAAAATTCTGGATTCCCCTAGTAGTTACCGCCAAATAAATTATTGGTAAAATGACATCCTAGAACAACGTAGTGAATAGGTGAGGATGATCAGCGGATCTCTTGGGTATCTACACTTAGAAGAATCTCTATCTTTCTAAGAGGGGCACTGTCTCTTTGATAACTAAGTCTATGTGGATCGGCACTAAGGACAGATAGCCATCAGTCCAGTTTCTAGAAAGCTTCTGATCACAACTTTATGTCTCTCAGCTTACTGGATGCATCACAGGA